TTGAAAATGTGTAGATTGGCGTACTTTAACGATATTGTTGTCGGCGCAGTGTGCTATCGTATAGATAGCATCAGTGCAACCACCGGCACAGACACTGGCAAGGCTGCCAAAATGGAAGGAACTAGCTCAGGACAAAAGAAACTATACATAATGACCCTTGGATGTTTAGCTCCTTACAGAAGACTCGGAATTGGCAGCATGCTCCTGCGACATGTATCCAAATTTTGTCACAAACATGGCCATCTTGAGAGTATATTTTTGCACGTTCAGGTCAGCAATACCGATGCCGTTGAGTTCTACAAAAAGTTTGGATTTAGCATATCAGGGGAAATTAAGGGCTATTATAGACGAATAACTCCTCAAGGCGCTTATATCCTTGAAAAACGCTTGCCAGATTCCGATGTCCATGATTATTCTTCCGATTCTGAATAAAATTATCTAAGCTGTATAGTAACCTGAAGGTATGATTTTAAATACAAAAATAAACAAATAGAGTTATCTCTTTAATTTATTATTTGTTTCCTTCCTCTAAGTTATTACCAATTCAGTACTCAGTGAAAGTTTTTCTAGGATATTATGTGGCTGATCCACTTTTCCTTCCTAGTTGAAGATCGTCACTTGATTGTTTTATTTCGGTTATATTTCTCGGAAAGTAATTTTGCCTATACAGATTGATACGGATATTTATGCAAATGTCATTGTCTGTAATTTAAAATCCTGGATTCTCATTAAATTTTGGATCTAGTCGATAATTTTTTCTTTGAGGACTTTAAGACGCGTAATTTATTAAGCTATCACTTAATTTGTCAGCCTAAGTTAAATATTTGATAAAACGTCCTTGGCTATTTATATATAATAGCCCCAATTTAATGCATAAATTTATCCATTGGATCAGAGTTCTTATTGTTAGGTGAAAAAGCCCTATAATAAGTTAGAAATAGTTTGAACGCGATCATTGACGGGAACTCCTATAGGAACTTTCTGGCTATAATAATCCCTTGAGGCACGATGCGAATTTTTGCTGTAATCTGCATTAAGTGGGCTTATTACACTGAGAATATTTGAATTTTTATTTCAAATTATTATAAACGAATTGCGTTCTATGTATTTTCAAAAGTAGTCTTGATGGATATGGCAGATGTTCTTAGAAACCTTTGATAGATGCATATAATATTTTGGGTCGATTTCCAACCAATTTTTCTCTCAACAAATTTTATCGTATCGGGTTAACAACTGAATGTTGATAGAATTTATATTTACATTATACCATAATTATTTGTTAAATAAATATCAAGTACTACGGGTTGTTGAAGAGTGATAGTCCTTATTATCATAGTCTGGAAGGTTTTTTTGCATTTGCTGTTAGTAAATATAATTAATTTAATCGGAGGTATGAAGACCAAGATGGTGTGGTCGCAGTCTCCTTTCGTTGCATAGATGTTGTTTGACTTTGTTTTCTCAACTTGGTCATATTGGTAGGAAGACTTTGAGGAACACACTTAGTCCGGAGTCCATTATATGCATGATCGTTTCCAGAGTAGGACCATGGACGTGGTACATTCCCAGACATCGTCAGTGAGTCTCGCCATTCTTAGCACCACAACAACTCGTCAAAGAGACAAGTAAAGCCGATCCTTTGACCAAACGTGTGCTAAACAGTTGCGGTATCTCTCCTGTCCTGGGCTATTAACATTTCCTATATCCTCCTATCACGCCTTCACTGTTACAATTTTTACCGTGCTTATTTAGATGTAGTGTA